TCCTCTCCTACACCTGACAGGCAGCTGCCTGTCCAGTGTAGGAAGGGGAGGGGGAAGGAGTATTAGAAGCCACTGTGGAGGTGGGGCTGGCAGGATCACTAAGGCATTACTGCTGGGGTGGGGTCCCTCGTGGCTTTAAGCACCCTCCAACCGTTGCTGCACTTGACAGACAACTGCCTGTTAGGTGTAGGAGGTGGGGAGAGTGTGTTGGAAGCCATCAGAGAGGCTGGGCCAGCAGCATTACTGCACCTCACAGGTGCTTTTGGCCAGTCCTCATTTCCTCAACTGCCATTAGCTCTCTGCAGTCTCCTGTAACTGTTGTTTTTACCTCAGAACACTGAGCTCTGCAGCTGACCAATCAGAGAGTGGAGGGTGCAAGGAGGCAGCAGCCTGGCAGCCACATAGGAATCAATGGGGGAGCACATTTTACCCCTTTTGACCCACTTAGGGTTCAAATTTCTAAAATTCCCTTCTTAGTGAGCATCTATGCCATGCTAGGAGTGCTCTCCCTGAATTTTGTGTTTGTAGGTCCACGGGTTTGGCCTGGGCGTTGATTTTATGGTGAGGGGACTTTCTTTTATATATAGAGATGATTGTTTAGATACAAATTAGTAATAGATACCACATGTACTGTGGCAGTACTTCTTACGCAAGATCCATGGTGAGGCTGAAATTCAGGGTAGGCTTACACAAAAGTCCTGTCATCATGTAAAGTCAGAGAGACCTCATGTTCTAATACCTAAGATATATTAATGTTTCATGCATGGCATAAAAGACAAGGGACAGTGCACTAAGGTTCACTTCTCATTCTTACCATGTATAGCTGTTTCATGTTCAGGTGAGGGCATCTGAAAGGCTTACATCTAATGTAAGAAACGAAGAGCAGCTGGATCAGATGAATGGTCCATCTAGTCCAGCATCCAGTTTCATATAGTGGCCAACTAGAAGCACCCAGGAGATACACAATGAAGTCCAGGAGCTACACAATGAAGTTGTTGATCCCAGCCACTGGCATTTAGAGGGATACTGACCATGACCATGAACACCTTGCCTTATACTGAATCAGACCATTTGTCCATCAAAATCAGTATTGTCTACTTAGACTGGCAGTGGCCAGGGCCGGCCCCAGCTTATTTTGCACCCCAGGCAAGGATCCCTTATGGCGCCCCCCCCCCGGGCACCCACCAATTTAAAAAAATAAATGCATTTTAGGAAGAATGAAAAATACAAATAATCAAGAAACTCCCAGAGTATGGGGCCGGGTGCAGTTTGGCACCCCTAAGGGCCAGCCCGCTCTAGGCGATCGCCAGGGGTAATTTCGTAGAAAAAGAGCTAGGGGAACTCATTAGCATAACTCATTAGCATATGCCACACCCCCTGACATCAGGGGCCTGGCGGTGGACCTGCAAGGCCAGCGGGAGTGCGAGGAAGCCCCGCCAAGGCCCTCCCTGGCCCCAGGCAGGCAGGGGTGGGGAGAGGCGGGGAGGAAGCAACTTACCCTCCCTCTTCTCCTGCCTCCTCCTGGCTGAATGAGGGCTGGAAGCGGGGCGGCCGGAAGCAGGGGGCGGGGGCTTTGTCATGCGCCCCGCCCCCTGCACCTCACCTGGGGGAACTGTGTTCCCCCGCGTTCCCCCCCGAAATGACCTCTGGCGATCGCCTAGTTCGCCTAGTGAGTGAGCCGGCCCTGGCAGTGGCTCTCCAGAGTCTCAGGCAGAGGTCTTTCACATCACCTACTGCCAGATCTCTTAACTAGAGATGCTGGGGATTGAACCTGAAACCATCTGCATGGAAAGCAGAGGCTCTACCACTCAGCCACAGCCTCTCCCTTAATGTTACCATGGCTAATAGAAATTGCTGGACTTACCTTCCATGAATCTGAATAATTTAGTTAAAGTCAACTAAACTAAAAGCCATCGTACAAGCATAATATTTCATCTGAGGAATCGTCAAATGTGCTTAAAGACTACAGACAAAATCTAATAGTATTCCAAGGATATGTGGGATATCCCTGAGGAATTTCACCATTATTCTTCGCTATTCTTTTGGCACCCTTCAACATTCTCCAAATGTTTCACCAAAGGAGGAATTCTCTCACAGTTCCTTTGAAATATAGATGCACACAATTGGCAATTGTACTGGTAAGGGAGTCCTGCAACTGCAGAGATTGAGATTTGTTTTTGCAGGACTAGATATCTTTGAGACAGACAACAGAGCATGGGGCAGGGGAACAACTGTGTCCCTCTTCCAGTATCCCAGCTGCAACCCTTTGCTCCGTTCTCCAGCACCCAAAAGGTGTGTAAATTAGTTAAAGAGGTTTCTTGCACTTCCCTCCAAAACAAAATACAATAAGATACAGCGAGGGGGAGCAACATTATTTCTTTTTTTCTTGTGGCAGGGAAAAATCATTTGAACTATCCTAGCTACATCTGTATTTGTGGTAGGTTCAATTTTCACGCTTTGTTTGTGCATTAAAATGTGTCCCTGAGGAATGTTAGGGTTCCTTGTACATAAAGAAATATTTTATTTTTAATTTTGCAAAGGTTTTATAGGAAAGTATTTGGGGGGTGGGAGAATCTCATCAGACAGCCTGAGTTTGATTTTAGAAATAGGATATGACGCCTGCTTTTTTTTTTTTTTACAGATGGTCTATTTCTGTAAAAATACCCAAGTTTACATTTGTATTGTAACTTACTGAGTATTTAGATAACTAATAATATATATTTTAGTAAATATACTTAAATATGGTCCTTTTTTTAAAAAGTGCAAGCCTTCCCTTAGAAGAACAGCAATAGCTAGCATAAAAAGGGGGCATGTAAGTTATCAATGTTTAAAATGTGAAATTGTTATGTTTTGATTTCATTTGTATTATTTTAACTGTGAATTTAAGAGTATACTCACATGCTATTTGGCCAATCTGTTAATTAGAAAATAAATTGCTACGTAACACCGTGGACATTCTTCTCCCTTGGAATATTACCCAAATGCAATAAATATGATGGTAATAATATTTAATTATAAATAGCCTTACTAAAACGGAACAGAACTGTCATGATCCCTATTCTTCAAAACAGCCAAGTGCATTTTAATCACGTTTTCTTAACACATAAATAAAGTTGTTTCAATGTTCTTACTTGCTAAAAAGGGGCATTCAGTAATATTTTGAGCATGAAGTTATGTTTTGCATTGACATAAGCACTAACCAACTCCCTTATGACCTAGAATTCTTTCTAAGCTGTCATCAAGTAATGATAGATCTTGGGGTCTGCCATCACTGCTTCTCACTGGTGGATTCATGGGATTCAAAGAACATTATGGTATTGTTATAAATAAATGAAAACAAGAGCTGGACAAAACCCATGTGGCAACTACACTCCTCCCAACAGCTTTTTCTGGTCATTCGATCTCTTAGGGGAGTTAAGATGTGCCTCAGCCCGTTTATGAACCTTATCTATAGCAAAAAAACACCAACAACAGCAATGGTTTTCCTTCTGGAAAGTCCTATAAGACTGTTTTTTTAGAAAGGCTTTTGATGGAGTGTGATATAGGAAGAATGGGCTTGAATTATGCAACCTGTTTTGTGTTTAATATTTGCTAGTTCCTTTTTGTTTGCTTTTAATCTCTTTTTTAAATGAATGATTAGTTTTCTTATGTTTGTT